CAAATTTATTTTATCTTTTATTGAATTGATCAATACAATAATTCTAAAAATTTTCTAAAATTGGAACAAAAATAGAAATATAATTAATAATATAAGCCAATCAACATAATTGAATAAAGCAATTAGTCAAAGTTGTTTTGAATTTTAAAATCAAAATTGTATTTTTGATTGGTTTAAGTATTGAAATAATTTAATAAATATTTTCAAAAAATCCTCTTGTTATAATAATTTTTATATAATTGATGTTTAATATTTCAGAATTATTATTCAAGATTTAATAATTAAATTTTAAAATTAATAATAATATATTAATAAATTTTAATAAAAATTTAAATACTTATATCTTCAAATGCTAATCAAAATCTAATAATTGATTAATAACAATTATACATTATTGACTATCTTGTTTTGATTGATATTTTAATATTATTACCCTTGATTTTAATTCATTAATAGATTCATAAAGTATATTTATCCTTTAATATGATTTTAAAAAAAATAATATTAATGTTTAATATTTATTAATTGTATTAATTACAAACTTATACTTGCCTATATCTTTGAAAATCAAATTAATATAATATATCATATATTATATAATAATAATTCACAGATATTTTTTATCAATAATATTTTATACAATCTTATAATTAGCTGTTTTATCTGTAATTAATTCAATAATTTTATTTTGTTTAATACTATTAATGATTTTTCAATATAATTGATTAAAAACTTTCCAATAAAACTTTTTAATAATACATTTTCAATAATCTAAAAATATTAATACCTATTAAATGTCATCAAAATAAAATTATATAACTGTCAATTACTGGAATCTGTCCATTCATCCAAAACAATAGTAATATTTTTTCTATTTATAATTCTTTTTGAATCTTAATTGTAATTGCTACAACCTTTGAATAAAAAATATTGTTTAAAATTGTTATATAACATAATGGATTATAAGCTGAATAAAGTTGTTTACTAAATTCTATAAAAAACAAATAATTTATAATTGCAAAAAAAATTGTATAAGTAATAAAAAATCTTTCTAATATTGCATTAATTGTATCTTTTCTAAAATCAGTTAACTTAATACTTACCATAAAATTGCTTAATGAAAATTGTTTAGAATCTAATTTTGTTTTTTTGACTGATTTTTTTTTATTTTCAATAGTTTTATTAACAATCATTTTTAAAAATTCATTTTAAATTTTACTAGAGTAATATACTTACTTACTTGTTAAATAATTTTTCAAAAATTTTAATTTACTATACTAATATTTTTTGTTATAATAATAATATGTTACTAAAAAGTGTCCATAACTTTTATCAATAAATGTTTTGTAAAAATGTTATCAGGTAATTGATTCTAATCATCTAACTATATTTTTTGATAATGAAAAAACTGTTTAATTATTATTACTTTGTATTTTAAATAAATGAATAAATAAAAAAATAATTAATTTGTTATTTCTGTTTTTTTCTGTTTTTTTAAATTTGATTGATTAATAATTGTAACAAATTACATAATTATATCATATTAATTTAATTGTGATACAATTGTGGTAAATTATATAATTACAATACAATATCAATATTGTAGCACAATTGCAACAAATTTATTAATTGTATTATATTGATTTAATTGTAATACAATTGCAACAAATTTATTAATTGCATCATATTGACTTAATTGTGACACAATTGTGACAAATTTATTAATTGTAACAAATTATATAATTATGTTACAATTGCAACTTGTAGCACATTAATTATAACACCATAAAAATTTCAAATAATTAAGTCAATTGTAAAATAATTTTAATTATATATATAGTACTAATTATATTAAATAATAAAAGGTTTGAAATCAAAACAAATATTATCAACTGTATTGATATCTTCATAAAGTCAAGCAACTTTACTTCAAGAAAATATTAAGAAGACAAATAAAAATATCAAATTGGTAACTATAGTTAATATTAATAAATATAATCACATGAAAAGAATATTACTAAAACTTATTAAGTTAAAACCATCAATAAAGATATATTAAATAATCAAGCAAATTAATTAGTCAAAATAATAAAAAGAAGAACCAAAAATCAAATAGAAACTGTTGTTAACAATAATTCCAATTATATATATATTTGTATTTAATTCAGATATTTTTTAAAAATCATATTATGTTTGTATTACTAAATAATAATTAGTAAGTAATTAAAAATTATATTTAATTCAAAATTGTATTATTGATTGAATTTTTTTTATAATAATAAGAAAACATATATAATTTCAATTACAATATTATTATAAAATAATATTTCTATTGATATTTTAATTCAAATATTTATTAAATATACTAATAAGAAAGAAATTTTAATATAATAAATATCCTTCAATAAAATTTAACAGTGATAAAAAGAAGATAAAAAACTATAACAAAGTTGATTGAAGAGATTTTTGACTTTATAACAATAACAAAGACTTATTAATTATCTTGTTAAAACAAATATTTAAAAATATTTAAAATTAAACTTATATATAATAAACTGTTAATTCTGGATAATCTAGTTAAACTTAATATTCAAAAATCATTAGCAAATATCAAAATGTTTTTTGCCTAAAATAAAAAGAAACAATAGACTATTTAGCAACTTGTAACAAACTTCAAAAAAAAAAAGATAAGATATAAAAAAATATTCTTAATAAGCTATATATATTTTGGATTATAAAGTATATTAAAAAAACAAAAAGAAAGCAAAATAAGATCTAATATCAATTTATAAAATAATGAAAAAATAAAAAATAAAAAAATTGTTTTTAATAAAAGAAATAATAAATATTAGTATAGGATTATAGACAAAAAAAAAGAATATAAAATAGATACATATATATTATGCACTCAAGATATATAAAGCAACAACTTGAAAGATTCTAAATAAAATATTATAAATCTGAAATAAAGAGTTTTATTAACAAATCTGAAATGTAAAATGTAAAAAAATCTATAATTATAAGAAAGTACATAACAAAGAAAAAGAAAAAAAGATAGATTTTAACTTAAAAATATCAAAAGAAACATTCAAGTTTAAGAATAAATTCAGATTATAGGAGAAAAAAAAGAGACAATAATAATATTAACAAATACAAACTTATCAATCAAAGATATTGTGATCTTAAAAATTTTCATACAAAGTTTATGAAATAAAATTAAGAAAAAAATCAAATGGTTAAAAATATAATGTAATTAAGATCTTACTAAAGTAAATCGTAGTAATGAACTGTAAATAATGAACTTAAATTTTTTTAAAAACAAAAAAGATGAACAAGTAACTTTATTTATTTCTAAGATCATATTTAAAGATTGGTAATTAGTAATGTGTATTTAAGTATAAATATAAAAGTTTTGTACTAATATGTTTTCAACTTCAATAATTAAATAAACATGATAAATACTTGTTTGATTACAGAAAAAAAAATTCAAATAAAACTTATATAACTACAATATTTAATATTATTTAATTATATATTGCATATATATTATTTTTAAAATCTTTTTTAATATATTGTTAAGTAATTGTTATAAGCATATTAGTATTTGACTTATTATATGTTTTGTATTTAAAAAATATTGGTTTTTTTTTATAATATATACAGTATATTGTTATATATCAATAAATAAAAATATATTATATTTTTATATTTCAAAATTAATAATAATAAATAATTATTTATAGTTATAATTAATAAAATAAATAATTATTTTTATATAAAAAAAAAATTGGTTAACATAATAAAAATATTATTTTTAATTAATATAAATAAATAGTTTTTTTTTTTTTTTTTTTTTTTTTTTTTTTAGAGGCAAAGTGCATTACATGCGAACTTTATAAATAAATGGTTTTAAACATTATTTCATTCAATTTTATTATGTTTTATTATAAAATTTATTTTATTGTTATTTAAGAAAAGTCAAATAAATATTTATTGTTAAAATACGCAAATTATTTATTATATATTGTTTATATAACTTATAAAAAAATTTTTAACAAAAAATAAAGTTTGAAAAAAAAAACGAAAGAAGTCGAAAAATTCGTGTCCTTATGAAACAATATTTACCATAAACAGAGTATTTATCGATTGATATGTTTGTTTTATGACAATATTATATCATGATGTTTTTTTTTTTAATATTCTTAATATTAAATACTTTAAGAATCAAAACCAAAGAAGGTTATAACCGGTTGATTCTCAATAAAGTGTAAGTGTACCAAGTTTTTTCGGAATGTTTTAATGCGAAAAGCATCTCAATGATTTTATATGACATTGTAATGCCATACCCCATGTTCAAATACGATCAATTAATAATAGGTGAATAAATGCTATGTGATTATTTTGATATTGTGTGATAAACTCGGTGATATAACTTTATATCAATATAGTAATAATATAAAAATTTATTGAGTAATATATGTTACTTAAACTTCTATACATGTATAAATAATACTTTATACTTTATAATTAGTAGACTAATATCGAAGTATTATAAATTCTTATCTCAACATGCAATAACACAGCAATAACCTGTATTAGATAAATAAACAAATAACTCAGATATAAATGAAGTCAGCCATGACTGATACATCCGAGTTCCGACTTTTTTTCAGTTTTCTTTCGCTCTGAACATTTCTGTTCTCTTCTTTTTGTGTTTTCCGTTTTTTGGTTGGGTCTAGTTTTTTGTGCATTTAAGCTTTATTTTTTCCTCGTCTTTTTCTATACCTTTAACGAAGTTTATTTATGCATGTTATTCCCGGCCTAAACACGAAACACAAGTTCTCATAAATCAATCATATTTTGATTTTGGAGACACCTTATATTCTGTTTTTTTTTTCTTCGTTCTCGACTTTTTCTATTGTCTTTGTAAAAATTGAATATAAAGGCCACACATAAGATCGTTTTCATGACAAGGCCTTAGTTTTTTTCTCGCAAACTACATGTCGCGGTACCATAATATTGGCAACGACGCTTCTCAACAACCTCACTCTTCATTACCACCCATTATTACTAGTAACTCTACTACTTCTGTTTCTCCATCTTTATCTTCTACCACACTTCCAGTTTCGCAGCCTCGATACGGACAACAAAACACTTATCAACCACAGCGTTCCTCGCCAACTTTTCCAGAAATGGCCACACTTCCGACATTGCCACCCATCAGCACATTTTCGTGCGAAAACCTATTACCTCCAATTTTATCTTCAAGTCAACAAGGAAATAGTCCTTTTGCATACAGAGGTCAATCAAGTTCAGAGAGGGTAGAACAAAACACACGTTATCCTAACGGCGGCAGTAATTTACATTCTTTGAGCGGACAATCAACACCTTCTCCATATTCCGGTTCTTCCGCTTCTTTCACTTCACAATCACAATCACAACCATATTATCAGCAAACGATACCACCACCACAAAGATCACCACCCACATCATATTACCCTCAGACAAATTATTCATCTTCCTATCCACCGTATCAACCACCATCA